CTGAGACTGCCGGCTTGCCAGGCACGCATCTGTGTGTTCTTGCACATGCTGCGGCAGCTTCTCCCACGCTAACTGCGCCTCGGATTGAACATGCTCGGCCGACACGTACAGTGGGAGCTGGATGATGCGGGAGTACCAATGTGACAAGGCTAAGTCCTTCTTGGAGTTCAAAAAGTGATGCGCGCACAACGCGACGCTGGCTATCTGCCTAGGCTGCAGCAACGCGCAGTCCACGTTGAAACAGTGCTCGAACCTAGCCAAGGACGCCAACACACACTGAATGGTGTCTTCCACAGACATGACGGCGCCCTGCCCACAAAGCTTGGCCCACTGCAGGTGCAGGAAGCCCGTTCTTGGGTGAGAAAAGTATGCTTGCAAGATATCTTGCAGTCTTGCCTCTCTGCGATCTGCTGCCTGTCTGTGGCTCATCACAGCAGCAACTAGCTCTCCATTGTTAAATGGCAACAGGTCATACTGATGATCCACAAGTTCCACCAAGGCAATCTGCCTCAGCAAGCGAGAGCTGCAGTGGCTTGGAGACAAATCCCAGCTTTCTGCACTGAGATAAGGCGCAGCTGCGATGGTGCTGCTGCCCTTGCAAACTTGCGCCAGTTCTGCCGCTGACTTGGGCAAGCAGTTGGCTGCGCAGGCGCTCTCCACCAAAGCAGGATTGTTGCGCACGACTGCTCCTTGCAACTGCGCGACTTCCGTCAAAAGCGCCTGTCGCATTTCATACACAACCCAAGCGCCTGGGGTTTGCACTTGTTCACTTGGCGTTCTGACAACCAGCGGCATGCTGCTGCTCTCTCTCCAAGCGCGAAATCGTTTGTGCCTATGGTTTCGCCACTGCGTGAATTTGCTGGACATAGCTGCGTAGAGTCTGGACTGCAGCAGCTCCTTTTTCGCCTCTGGGACACCAGCAGCTACAAGAGCATCTGCGTTGGCAAGCACCCAGCGATAGGCGCCCACAATTTCTTCCCGGTGACTTTTGGGTGGCTTCGCGTCAGCGTCAGCAAGCTGTTGGGCCTTGACACTAGAGGTTTTAAAGTACGAGGTCAGCTTACCCTTTTCCAAGCTAGTCTGCAAACCGGGCAACTGGATGGCGTCGCGCACTTTGGCTTCGACTTCTTGCAGCTGAGTGCGCAAGCCCTTGCGCACTGTGTTGCCATTCGGATTCTTCTGCGTTTGGCTAACGCCGACAATGGCACACAAGCCGCCAATTTCGGACCTACACAAATGCTGGTGCATGGGCTGGATGAGCTCAAGAATCCTGCGTCCGACTGCTTCCGGTACCGCGGCTGCACTTTTGATGCAAGATAAAGCCTCGGAAAAATTTTCCTGCAACATCGCCAAGGGTGACACATTTGCTGCGTCGCACGTCTGGCCCTCCGCACGCAGGGCTGCGTGTTCCTCCGTAGCAGCGCCCTGTGAGCAGAAGCTTCGCACTTTGTCCCTGGCTTCAGCCAGCAATTCGTTGCGGGATTTGCGAACACGATGCCCGTTCTCATGCTTTTTTGTCAGCACGATGCCAACTGAAGTGCAAAATTGCTGCAGCTTTTGGCCCTCCAGCTTTTCAATCTGGTCTAAGTATGGCAGAACATCTTCACTGGCAAAACCGTCCTGTGCACATACAGCCTTCACAGCACGATCAAGCAAGCCTGAGCTTTCTGGCTGACTCTGGCGGCGCACGCCCGTCGAAGACGCGACGGCGTTGGGCTGGGACATCTGCTTGCCGCCTGTGCACGTATCAGGACTCACCGCGCACGCTTTGTGCTTTGGAGTTTGGTTTTTGTGGCAATCATTCTGCGTGGCTACAGCGTTCCGAATCTTTTGAGACGCCTCTGACAACAAAGTTGTCAGCGTTTTACGCATTGTGCTGCGCTTGTGATTTTTCTTCGTCAACACGATGCCTATTGAAGCACAAAACTTGCGAAGAGCATCCCCGTCCAAACCCTCCAGACGCTCCACTGCCTGCTCTGCTTGCTCATGCGGCACGCAAACTTGACTGTGCAAGGCCCGTGCTACGTTTTCAAGCACAGCTTGCGTTGCCTCTGCGTCACCTTCCAGGCGGCGCTTCCGCGCTGGCTGAGTTTCCATTGCTCCCATGCCTTTGTGCGTTTCTGCGCACGCCGTTTGACAAGGCACGTCCGACGCTTGGGATTCGCATCTGCTTCCAACGTTTGTGTTCTGTTTCTTGCAAGCTGGCTCCGCACACGGCTCGCAGCATGTGACTTCCATCTTCCAACGTTTCTGCAACGCTTGCCTTTGCTGCGACGCAGGAAGGGCATCTAGCAAAGCTTGCCTTTGTTCGCAAACGTTTGTGGGATTTTCAGCACCAACCCATCCAAAGTGATTGCACTGAATGCCTTCTGACACAAGTGCGCAGATCATGCCAGACAGACGCAAGTTTTCAATAGCCACACGTGGAACAAGCAATTTCTTCTCAAAAGGCTCTCCAGGGGCACAAAGCAGACATGGGACGCCATGGCGCACCAACATGTTCACCGCTCCTGTGATGTTCAAAAAAGCGCCCTCCAAAAAAAACTATTGCGCGTAAATTCTGCCAGGTGCAGTGAGGATAGAAAACCTAGCAAGGCATTTCGCAACCGACGAGAAACGGAAACTGTTTCAACAGTGCTGCGCTTCCCTTGCCTCTGTGCCCGAGCCCTGAAACATGACGCGCGCAAGGCTCTTGTTTGCTCACCCATGACAAACACCCCACCCAAACACAAACCACGCCATGGCGGGCACAACAAAGCCGTGCTGAACCCGCAGCCCGGGCCTTCTGATGGTCGCGTAGAGACACGTCACAAGCTGGCACGGCAATCGCTGTGTTGCAGCACCTGCAACGAGTGAAGCTCGAGAGTCACATCGTGTGCTTTTGGAATTCGGCATAGCCCTCGTGCTTTTGATTGCCGCGGTATAGAAAGCAAAACCTTGAGACTGCCTGCTTTTCTTGCAGCCTTCCCACACAGTTTCGCTTAGAAACCTTGGCAGACAGCCGTCTTGTTTGGCGGCAGCCCCCGTTGACAGCTGATGAGCGCTTTGCTACAGCAAACTCTTGGGAGCAAGGAACTAGCACTCATGAATCTGGTTGCTGCGATGTGCAAGGCGACAGCTTGCAGTTGCCTGCTGGCTTGAGTCCTGGGCAGAAACTTTCACCAAATTTCTGGCTGTTTTTAGCCTACTATTTCAAAATCAGTCTGGCCCTGCCTGCGTCTCGGCGGCGTGCACAGATCATCACTCTTTCGCACTCTCCCTTTTTTCGGCAAAGGTACAAAAAGACATGGGACACCATGGCGCACAAACATGTTCACCATTCTTGTGATACTGAATGGACGGCCTCCAAAAAGCCTCTTGCGCGCAAGTGGCGCCAAGTGCAACGAGGATAGACAATTTAGCCACTCCACTCCAAGAACGCAACAAACCGGCACGCATGGAGACTGCTTCAACAGTGCTGCGCCTCTCTCTCCAGACTGTGGCAGCATCAACCGAAAACATACCATGGCAGCCACAACCACTCGGCAGTGCTTGCAGGAACCCAAAGAACATTTACGCGCTTGCTGCAAGGCTTGGCCACTACTAGGCTACGACTGTTTGGCTTGGCTGGTTTGCAAAAAAACGCCCTGGCGAAGCCGCGAGCCTCCTGATGGTCGCGTAGACACACGTCACAAGCTGGCGTGGCAAAAGCTGTGTCGCAGCACCTGCAACAAGTCAAGCTCAAGAATCACGTTTTGTGCTTTTGAATTTGGGCTGCTGCTTGCAGCAAACAAAAACTAGCGCTCGTGCTTCTGGTTGTTGCGGTATGCAAAGCAAAACCTTGAAAACACCTGCAAGGCTGTGACCTTCCCGCGCAGTTTTGCTTTGAGTCCTGGTCAGCCGACATCCGAAACTCTTTGGCTTGGCAGGTTTGCGAAAATCCGCCCTGGCGAAGCCGCGGCCCTAGCCTGCTGATCTTCGCAGCACCTGCAACAAGTGAAGCTGAAGAATCACGCTTTGTGCTTTTGGATTTGGGCTCGTGCTTGCAGAAAAGAACTAGCACTCGTGCTTCTGGTTGCTGCGGTATACAAAGCAAAACCCTGAAAACGCCGGCAAGGCTGTGACCTTCCCGCGCAGTCTTGCTTTGAGTCCTGGTCAGCCGACATCCGAAACTCTTTGGCTTGGCAGGTTTGCGAAAATCCGCCCTGGCGAAGCCGCGGCCCTAGCCTGCTGATCTTCGCAGCACCTGCAACAAGTGAAGCTGAAGAATCACGCTTTGTGCTTTTGGATTTGGGCTACTGCTTGCAGAAAAGAACTAGCACTCGTGCTTCTGGTTGCTGCGGCATACAAAGCAAAACCCTGAAAACGCCTGCAGGGCTGTAACCTTCCCGCACAGTTTTGGTCGAGTCCTGGGCACGCGCGTCCACTTTTTTTGGCCTGCTGGTCAGCCCACATCCGAAAGTCTTACAAAACTGGCGTCTGCCCCGGAGAGCTTGGGACAAGTTCAAACTCAAATGCTTCGCGGTGGCGTGCAAAGATCATCGCTCTTTCGAACCTTCCCCCGTGGGGTGAAGGTTTGCTCCACTATGGCCCTCACTGCCTCCTGCTCAATCGCCGCGGCCTTGCGCTTCAAGGGACGCCGAAGAAGACCAACACCGTGCGAGGCCGCGCATTCCAACTTAAAGTCGCCCACCGCCTTCTGCACGTCTTGGCCTATGACGCGATAGGAGAACTCATGCGCTCACGCCACACTACATGATTGCAACCTGAAAAAGAGAAAAAATGCACAAACTTGCGCGTGTGTGAACTGTGGCCTGGGAAAGGCTTGTAGACAGCCTGGGCCCACAACTCCACTTTGTCCTCCGAAACGTCCATGCTTGTGATGTGAAACACCGCGATCTCCCCCGGCGAAACCTGGGAGAGCAACATCTGCCCGAGTGGGATTACCAACAGCACGTCGAGGCGCTTCTGGGAAGCTTGTTCGTCAGCTACGTCCACGCAGCTCCGGAACCGCAGGAATGTCAGAGGCCCATCCTGTTGAGGCACACATGAGCCCACGGACAGCATAACCAGTCCACCACCAAGGTACTCAAAGGTAGCCCCATCCCCCGTAGGCGACTGCACGTAGAACCCAGGACTGCTGTCATTCGCTTGTAGGCACCTGACATAGGTGGCCGCCACCCCAGCGTTGCTGGCATAAAGGGCACTGTCAGCGTAACTGCGTGCAAGAAACAAGAGCGACAAGTTGCGGGGAACGTAAGCCACAAAAAAGGTGATGCCAACTCTGTTCTGCTGGGGCACCGCGTCACTGCATCCTCACCGGGCTCCGATGGCACCACGAACTGGGGCGAAGCCTCCAAAAGGGTCACGTTCACGTACTCGCCCACGGTCCTTCGCAGCCTGGCTGTGATTCGAGGTCGGGCCAGGCTATCTTGCGCAACATTTTCCAAAAATATTTCTTTGTCGGCACACCCAGTCATAGCCAGCAAAGCCTTCTCCGCCGCAAAGCACCGGAGCTCGCCAGAGCTATCACGAAGCAGCACTTCTGCCCAAAGGCTGCCTTTCCGGCTGATCAAACTGTCTGTGTTTGCCAGCTCCCACACCACGCCCTCGCATTGCCAGGCAGACTCGCCGAGGTTTTTTTCGTGTATCTCCTGGGCAAGGGACAAAGCCCGCAGACACACCACACGCAGCACCCCACCTTAGCTGGCGACACGTTTGGCAAAATTTGTTGTCTGACCCGCACACACAAACCGAGTCTGCAAAACCCAAGGCAAGTGGCTGACGTCGGCGCTGCCCTGGTAGCGCGTTGCCGACTGATCCGCCTTGGAGCTTGCCAGCGACGCCGCTTTCTTGATGAGTTCATCCTCCCTGTCGCTCACGCTGTCGGGCTTTTCGAGGATACAAACCACGGTATCTTCTGTCGTGCTAAGCGATCTAGAAGTACCCGTGACTGCCAGCTTCACACGATACAGTGCCACAGCCTGAGTCCAAGCCATGGAGAGAGTTAAGAAAGCTACACCAAGCGGGCTTCGAATTGACATGGTTGGACTCAAACGAGAACCAAGACTGAGACGCAGGCTTTGCCCTGTGAGCCTTGCACGCTGCGCGTGAGCGGCTCCCAAATGCTCACCTGGCACTCCGTCTGCGTCTCATCCTGGAGCCGAAGCCGTAGGACATCTTTGTGAACAGCTCCGCCGCGTAGACGGCATTCCATGGTCTCCACATCGCCAACCTCCGTGACCACGCCGATAACATTCACCCGCTGCTCATCTTTGGAGAGCAATTGCTGAATGGTCATCCGGATAGGCGGCCGAGCGGGAATGCTCCCTGCGTCGTGCACAGGATCAATCTTGGTTTTGTCGGTGAACTCAAGATCCACTGGCGACGAAGAGCAAGAGAACTTCGATGCCGGCGTGCCTTTGAATCCAGCTGCCCTCGTCCTCTCTTTATTTACCGCCCATGTTGTCCCTTCTGCAAACTTCTGCGACCACTTTTCCGCAGCGGCGGCCTGCTCCTTGCCATAGAACCTTTTGCACAAGGCGGCGGTGTCTTCCGCCGTAACAGCGGTGCAAGACCATTTGGTCCAAACTGATTGGTTCTTTCCCGGAAGGTCTGGAACTGTGGTGGCTCCATGCACCCTGAATGTGAAAGAGGCATTGGCAACGGCATCTGGTCGCAAGGCCTTCAAGCGGCAACTAGTCATAGCGCACATCCGCCTTCTGCAAAGGCTCGATCCCAAAATCTCGCAGCCCAAATTTCAAAAAGGTGGCGTTGACCCACAGCGATGCAACTCCACTCCGCCCAGCAAAAACGGCAGCAGGCTGCAACAGCCACCTGCCTGCGGAGCTCGCGTCATTTGCGTCATCCAGCCTGTCACACAGAGACGGCTGGCGAGGGGACAACTTGTGCTACACAGAACCCGAAGCTTTGGCACATGCTTCTGGTTGGCGCGGTATGCACAAAGGAAAACTTTGAAGTTGCCTGCTGGCGCGCAGCCTCTCCAATCAGTCCCGTTTTGCGTCCTGAACCCATTGCTACAAGAGTCGCGGCTCAAGCAGTGCCCCCTGCAACATGACGACGCATAAGCATCTCCACTCTAAATTGTCAAGCGTTGCTATCAACTCTGTAGTCAAGATTCAAAAACACACATGGGTGACCCATTTGACGACACACCAGGCTGAAATTGCTATCTAGGTAAGCATCCCGACTGAATTTTGAATTTGGCTGTGGCTTTGCAACCAACAGTTTGCGCACGCAAAAGCTCAAAAGACTCCCAGTCGAAGCACAGCTTGGAAGGCCACTGCGGCGTACGCCTGGCTGGCAGCAAAACCTGATCGCCCGCCTCCTGATTTTTGCAGTTTCTTGTTGTTTTCCGCTGGCAGCTATTTGACACAATGCAGCAACGCACCGAAAACACGGCGAGTACGTGAGCATCGCAAAGAAACTTCAGTTGGAACGCTGCAAACTCATCATCTTTTAATCGAGATTCGGCAACACAGCAGTCGCCCACTTGACAACACACGACGTCTCAAACTGCATATCTTCACACTTCTGTTTTGAGCTCAGCCGTGGCTGCCAAAAAACAACCTTGCGAAAACACATGTTGCAAATGAACTTGGAAGGCACATGACGGGCAGGTCTGCTCTCAGCCAAACGCAATCTTGTTAAAGCAACATAACTCCAAACACACATGGTTCTGAGTTGCTTTAATTTTGTTTCCATGCCACGTGCCTTTGCCAGCCAAAAATAACAGGGACGGACGCAGAAGCACACACACACACACCAAAAAAAACTTCCTCTGAAATCTACGTCGTCACTGCAAAAGCAACCCAGAAAAACGCAAAGGTTGCCGGTAACCAAGATTATGATCACAAAGCTTGCAGGAATGCTGCGGTAGCAACGTCGTCAACGTCCTGGATGCCCAGTCCAACACCAGCGAAAGTGGCCATTAAGAGTGCGTCCCCAGCAAAGTAATAGGGCGCAAAACAAGCGTATCCACTGGAATCTGCTCCTGCAGGCGTCTGAAACAACCTCTCCTGCACGCGAATCCATCCTACTGCCCAGCGCACGAATGACCTGAAACTTGGCGCCTGTAAATGCAAAGCGGAATTGTGCTAATGACGCACGCAGCATCATGGCCATGATGCAGGTGTGTGCCATCATTGATGACGTAGGCAGCATGCATCCTGACAGGAAGCAGGCAGCGTCATGGTAATGATGTACGCAGCATCATGGCAAGGCCGGCAACGCGAAAAACACGTTACACGCATGCAACAGTTCATGGGCAGGTAAAGCACCTTTCCATATGAAAGAAAAAATGAAAACAATGCAGGAAGCGTCATGATGTTGCAGGCAGCATCATGAAAATGCAGGCAGCCGCATGGATGCAGCAAGCATCATGATGATGCAGGCAGCATCATGGGAATGATGTACGTAGCATCATGGTGAGACCGGCAACGCGAAAACCACTTTAGACGCCTGCAACAGTACATGAAGAAAGGAAGCAAAATGATGCAAGCAGCATCATGATGTTGCAGGCAGCATCATGATGATGCAGGCAGCACCATGATGATGCAAGCAGCATTATGATGATGCAGGCAGCATCATGATGATGTAGGCAGCATCATGATGATGCAAGCAGCGTCATGGTAATGCAGGCAGCATCATGATGATGCAGGCAGCATCAGGATAATGCAGGCAGCATCGTGATGATGCAGGCAGCATCATGATGATGTAGGCAGCACCATCATCAAGAGGTTCGCAGCATCCGGACAAGATACAAGCAGCATCGCAAGGCCGGAAACGCGAAAAACACGTTGCAAGCATGCAACAGTTCATGAGCAGGTAAAGCACATTTCCACAAAGAAAGAATCAAACTGATGCAGGAAGCGTCATGATGTTGTGGGCAGCATCATGATGATGCATGCAACAGCATGGATGCAGCAAGCATCATGATGATGCAGGCAGCATGATGTACGCAGCATCGTGGCGAGGCCGGCAATGCGGAAAACACGTTAGAAACATGCAACAGTACGTGAAAGAAAAGGCCAAAACGCGCAAGCAGCATCATGATGTTGCAGGCAGAGTCATGATGATGCAGGCAGCATCATGATGATGCACGCAGCAGCATGATGATGTAGGCGGCACCATGATGATGCCACGACACATGATACGAGGACGTCGGCATCATCATCATGAAGATGTTCGCAGCATCCTGTCAAGATACAAACAGCGTTATGGTAATGATGTACGCAGCATCATGGCAAGGCCGGCAACGCTAAAAACACGTTACACGCATGCAACAGTTCATGAGCAGGTAGAGCACATTTCCACAAAGAAAGAATCAAAATGATGCAGGAAACGTCATGATGCTGTGGGCAGCATCATGATGACGCAACAGCATGGATGCAGCAAGCATCATGATGATGCAGGCAGCATCATGGTGATGATGTACGCAGCATCAGGGTGAGGCCGGCAACGCGAAAAACACGCTAGACGCATGCAACAGTACATGAAAGAAAGGACCAACATGCGCAGGCAGCATCATGATGTTGCAGGCAGCATCATGATGATGCAGGCAGCATCATGATGATGCAGGCAGCATCATGATGATGCAGGCAGCATCATGATGATGTAGGCAGCATCATGATGATGCAGGCAGCGTCATGATACTGCGGGCAGCATCATGCTGATGCAGGCAGCATCATGATGATGCGGGCCGCATCATGATGACGTAGGCAGAACTATGATGATGCCACGACACATGATACGAGGACGTCGGCATCATCATCATGAAGATGTTCGCAGCATCCTCACAAGATACAAACAGCATCATGGCAAGCCCGGGAACGCGAAAAACACGTTACAAGCATACAACAGTTCATGGGCAGGTAAAGCACATTTCCACATGAAAGAAAAAATCAAAAAAAAACAAAATGAAGCAGGAAGCGTCATGATGTTGCAGGCAGCATCATGATGATGCACGCAACAGCATGGATGCAGCAAGCATCATGATGATGCAGGCAGCATCATGGCAGTGATGTACGCAGCATCGTGGCGAGGCCGGCAACGCGAAAAACACGTACAAACATGCAACAGTACATGAAAGAAAGGGCGAAAATGCGCAGGCAGCATCATGATGTTGCAGGCAGCGTCATGATGTTGCAGGCAGCATCATGATGATGCAGGCAGCATCATGATGATTGATAGCGCAGGCAGCAGCATGATGATGCAGGCAGCATCATGATGATGCAGGCAGCATCATGATGATGCAGGCAGCATCATGATGATGCAGGCAGCATCATGGTAATGATGTACGCCGCATCATGGCGAGGCCGGCAACGCGAAAAACACGTTAGAAGGATGCAACCGTACATGCAAGAAGGAATCAAAATAATGCAGGCAGCATCATGATGTTGCAGGCAGCATCATGATGATGCCTGCGTTATTTTGATGATGTAGGCAGCATTTTGATGATGCCAAAACACATGATAGGAGGACGTCGGCATCATCATCATGACGATGTTCGCAGCATCCTGACAGGCAAACAGCACATGCAAACAGTTCATGGGCAGGTAAAGCACGCTTCTACATGAAAGAAAGAATCAAAATGATGCAGGCAGCATCATGATGTTGCAGGCAGCATCATGATGATGTAGGCAGCACCATGATGATGCCACGACACATGATACGAGGACGTTGCAGCATCCTGGTTCAGATGCAGGCAGCATCATGGTGCTGACGCGAGTAGCCTCACGGTAGCTATGCAGGCAGCATCATGGCTAGGATGCAAGCATCATCATGATGATGTAGGCAGCAGCATGATGATGCCGGCAACAACATCACCTCCAAAAACCTAGCGGTCTCAGAGTGAAACTGGCAGCAGTTGACGGTGCCAGCGACCGGATGGTGAAGCGAACAACGCGAGGCCGCGAGTCCCACTAGTGAGGCGAGTCGTAATACCAACAAAAGGAAGACCATGCGAGCAATACCTCGAGGCGCGCCCTGTGAACGAACAAGTCCCCTTCCCCGACCCTCAAGCTTCACAAGCCTCGTCCGGTCTTCACCCACTTGCCCACGCAAACACACATAAACAAACGCGCAAACCACAACGCAACGAGCTCCGGGCTTCCAACCTGGCGCCCGACTCCACCAAACCAACCACAACGTCCTGTGTAGCGACTATCATTCAAGAACTTACCGAAAGAAGTCACTGACCCGACACCCAGCCTGCAACGCTCAGCTTTAGCCCTCGGTTTTCTCTTTCCCCAGTCTGCCACACACACGAGCACACTGAAAACAGTGTGAAAACAGCGCCGCCTGGCGCCCATCCCACCTGCGCTTTCAGCGCAGCTCTGCGACACCGAGAAAAAACACGGCTAGCTGCCGCGCTTGACAAGATTCACCACGCGAATCAAGAGTGCCTTTGCATGTCTGTCATTCAAGCGAATTTGATCCTGCAGCTTCAGCAACTGAGCCTTTTGTTTCGTGCCGGTTGTTGCGCACACCCGGATCAGGCCCTCGCGAAGCTCTCGGGCGGACACATCATTGTGCTCAATTTGCCGCGCCAAAAGGTCAAGCTCCTTCAAAAAGCTACAGCCTCCTGAATCAGCGTCTGCAACCACGCTCAGCGAGCCTTGCTCAGAATCCGGCAGCGAAGCTGCAGGCTTGCGAACTTGCGCAGTGTCCAGCCCAGTTCTCCGA